TCGAGGCCATTCCGACATCAACCCCAAGACACTGAGCTGAGCTGGGGCTCGACTGCATAAAAACCATCAGAGATGAGGCAGGGTTCTTGGGGAGCATGGCCCAAGGACAGGATCCCTAACTGTGCTGATGGACGCATCCCACACCTCATTGTGTTCAAACTCTGACTTGCAATTCCCAGAAATCTCAGGAGCCTCTCTGTCTATGCACATCCTTCCTCCATTCCCAGCCCCAAGCCCTGCTTGCCTGCCTGGCGTGCGCCTATGGATCCTGCCTGCTCTACACAGTGCCTCCTCTGGGAAGTCTTCCAGCCCACCCACGTCTGAGGGGGTGCTGTCCTGTCCTCTGGGCTCCCGTAGCGCCTTGTCCTCCCATCAGCCTGCTCCTGCTGCTGAATCACAACCGTGCGCAATTTGTCTTCTTCCCCGTGAGCTCCCTGAGGTCTCATTCATCTTTGCTTTTCTGGTTCTTGGCATCATGCCTGGCACAGAGTCAGAGTCGGTGAATGCCTGAGGAATGAGTGGAGTAGCTGGGCCAGCGCTGTACAATGAGAGCGTGGAGGGTGGGCGGAGAGGAGCTCTTTCCAGGCACCTCCTGCCCCACACAGCAGGCTCACGAGGCCACAGAGGACATCTAGGCTCTGCCTCCTCCCTAATGCAGTTGGCTCCTTAGTCCCAGCACAACCTTCCTTTCTTTAAATAAATAAATAAATAAATAAATAAATATCCCTTTTAATTGTGTGAGTGAGTCGGTGTATGTGTGTGGGTGTGCCGCTGTGTATCTGTGCTCATGAGTGGAGGTTCCCCAAGAGGCTAGAGGTATTAGGATCCTAATGAGTTGGAGTTACAGGTGGTTGTGAGCCACCTGATATGGGTGCTGGGACTTGAACTCAGGTCCTCTGGAAGAGTGGTTTGTGTTTTTAATCACTGAGCCAGCTCCTCAGTCCCTATTCCTCCTTTTTACCCACATGGAGGACACATTCTGAGTATCCCTGTGAGTATACCTGGAGGAAGAGCAGGACCACTTGGAGGACACAGGGCACAAATAGGGCACTTGGGGGTGGACAAAGGACAAAGGCACAGACAATGACGAGGACCGTGGAGGTTCTAGGGAAGGAGTTTAGCTCCTGGGAGCGAAGGGCCACCTTGTTGAATCAGAGGGGTCAGAAGTTCAAAGTTCTACAAGTTTTCTCTCTTTCCATAGTTTTGTGTGCTCTTGGACCTAAGTGTGTGAGTGCTTATGCCTTGCTTGATCAAGACAAGAGTCAAAACAGACTACACACACTGTCTGGAAGGGGATACTTAGGCACGGGGGGGGGGGGCAGGTGCCTCCCTCTGCTACAGAATGTAAAGTCAGAGTACCTATGAGTTCTTCCTAAAATACGTATAGCCTTTACCCAGCTTTGGGGGTCACGGTTATGCTGCACAGTGTGATATGTAGATGTCCCCCCAAATTCCTTCTCTCACCAACATGGCAGAGTGGTTAGTCTCTATGACATTATCAGCTGCTGATAGGCCAGGGATAAAGGTAAGTGCTCCTGCGGCCCCCATCCTCAGCATCCTGACCTCCCTGTCCCAGTGTGCCTACCACCTGTGCAAATCTTACCCTTCTACCCAGGTCTGCAATTGGAAACCCTACCCCCTCCTGACAGCTGGACACACACTCTCTACCTTTCTGAGCACTCCCAGAAAGGGGCCTCTTCCGGAGCAAAAACTCCACAGCACCAGTGTTTCCTGAGCCTGCAGTGCGCAGAGCATGGCACTGGGCACATCTGGGAAATAACTGTTGGGAAGCAGGCACTCAGTAGTAATTGTTGAGCCTCATCCCAGCTAGGAATCAAGGGTATAGCATTGAAAACGGCAGGAGTGGTGTTGGCCTATGGGATGACAGATCATGATCTCTAGAACTTGCTAGAAACGGGCTGCCTGATCTGTCAGGGTTTGCCTGCTCACTATGTGTTGGTCTGGGCTTTGATGGGCCACACAGAGTCAACATTTGCCCTTTGTGCCCATTGGTCCAGGTCTGTGTGTCTTTAGGATGCTTCAGAGGCTCACACCCTGCAGACCCCAGCACCCTCCTGCTGATCTCTGGCAGCCCTAGAGATCAGGAGGCCCTGGCTTGTCCTCAAGCTAGCCTGCTAGCTGAGATGAAGAAGCAGATGGCCTCCATCCTCTTCCCTGCCCACCCCACTGTACCAAGGAAAAGGGAGAGGAAAATTCTCAGATGGCATCTTCCATCCATGATCTCTTGTGGTTCACAGACCCCAGTGCCGTAGACTTACCAGCCGCCAAGGTTGAGAGTCACACTACTGCCACACAGGATGGTCGCAATAGACTTGGGTGTGTAGAGGAGGGGAAGCTGAGTCCTGGATTAGTGCCAGATTGTTCAGGGAATCTGGGGTCTCTAAGGAGAAACAGGGGTACCAGCATTGCTCAGGGAAACTTACTATAGTTACTTACTCACTTGAACAGAAATATTTTTTTAAAAATTTTATCCTATGTGCATTGGTGTGAAGATGTCAGATCCCTTGTACCTGGAGTTACAGACAGCTATGAGCTGCTGTGTGGGTGCTGGGAATTGAACCCGGGTCCTCTAGAAGAGCAACCAGTGCTCTTAACCCCTGAGCCATCTCTCCCAGTCCCATAAGTATCCTTAATCATTGTAAATCAGCATCAGCACATGTCATTCTGCAACCCTGCCACCAACCAGACGGTCTAATCAAATACAGTTGAAAACCACAAATTTTATTGATATTCTTCATTAAAAACAGGGGGCCATGTACACAAATTCTGCTCGCATACCATACCTGGCAAATTCCCCTCAGCCACCCCTCATGGGTCAGTGTTTAGGAGCTGGCCTCCTGAAGTTCTCCTCTTTCCATCCTGGGATGTCAGACTTCATGATCTGAGCCTGGACAATGCAGAACTGGCCTTCAAGTTTGACCTCTAGGGTCAAGAGCGCTCCGAGTCCTGAGCCGTCCAGACCTCTCCCATCCCTTGTTTCCTCATTCTGCTAACGGGTGGCCAGAATTGTGCATGCAATCAGCTTTAGTGGGAGGAAGCCTGGACTCTCCTTCAGCCCCGATTTTCCCTCCAAGGGGCTGACTTCAACAACTGCCAAGGTAGCAGAGTGGAATTGTAGGGATGAACTGCCCTTGATGGGGGGAATCTGGATTGCTAGTGACCGAGACTCAGCCTGCTGTTGGTGCTTGATAACTTCAGGCAGGATGAACCCATGGGAGACTCCAAAGGATAAATGCTGGAGGGAGTGAGCGAGAAGGAGCGACATTACTCCATTAGCCCTCTGGAGGGCGCCAAAGTAGGGCCTGCATAAAATCCTCCCAAGCTCTGCTCAAGAATTCAGGGTCTTATGGAGCGATGGTTGGGGTCACTGGGGCCATTCATTGGACACTTCTGCCTCAACACCTTTATGGATGTTGAATTGGCCTCGAGACCAAGGCCGGAGAGGGTTTTTCTGTGGCTCCCACTCCTTCATATGTCCAGGGGTCTGTCTGGTCCTCTGGGTTTCAGAATTCAAGTCAGCACCCCCATCTAGAGCTAGTCAGACTGGAAAGAATGGACTGGCAATTGTACCCCCATACTCTGTCATTCCCACTAACCCCTCAGGGCCGAGCATGATTTTCAGGCTTCTTTCTCCCTACAACTGCCCCAGCCTGGCCCTAACACAGTTACAGCTCCCTGTCCTCCAGCGTATCCACTCTAAGCCACTGCGAACATCAGGAAAGTCTCCAGAATGGCTGGGCTGGGAGCAGAAAAATCTGTGGTCTGATTTTTAGGCTTTTTCCATGCTCACCACACCCCGCCCCCACCTCACGAAAGTCGGTGACTCCCAGGTGTCTCTAAAGAGCTCGCCCTTGGGCCCAGCAGTGGCGAAGAGGACAAACAGAGTCAGGAATGCAAAGGAATCTCTAAACTCATGTAGAACAAGAACAAAAATCTCTTTCATAGCACTCCTGGCAGAGAGCTGCCTAGATCCCGTTAAAATACCTCCTAAGGTAGATGGCTTTGGTTGCAAGACAGTCAACCCATTTACCCCTCCATCCTCCCCCTCCAATACTCACTCTACCTCTGTGTTCATAACAACACTCCTCACCCTTACCCCCTCTTACACACACACACACACACACACACACACACACACACGTGCGCGCGCGCACACACACACACTTATATATGGTTATATAAGGCTATATAGAAATGTTTCCCTTGTTACTTATGGGTAACTCCCTTTTCGCATTCCCTTCTTCCCTTCCCAATATCTAGCAAAAATCTAGAGGCTGGAGCTCAAATGCCAGAGGAATTCCAGGGAAAAGAAGTATCCAGTTAACTCCTGGGCTGGGCTAGAGTGGCCAGCTGGAGGAGGCCGGGCAGGGCACAGCATTAAAAAATTCCAGGCTATTGGCTGCTATATCTAGGGGAAAGGCCTTATACGTAGGCTGAGCAGCCAGTGCACATTCTGCTGGCTATCCCTTCTAGAGGATGGGTGTGCATCCACACCCCTTCCCATTTCCACTAGCAGTTGGCAAAGCTTACTGGACTGCTATTCATGAGCGCTAACTGTACCATTTGCCAGCCTCCAGGGCCTGGGGAGTCTCCTACCAGCAGCAAGAATGGAGTCTCCACTATCAAGATGTGGAGAAGGCCTTTAACAGAAGTGGTGACACCTGAGACATAACAGCGGATGGGCCAGACAGGGGGTGGGGGAAGGGCTTCCCAGAAGATAACTTGAAACAGAAACACCCTCACAGATTAGCAGCTATCCCCCTGGCTGGGTCGTGAGTAGCCTAAGTGATGCTCAGGTGGTCATTTCCCCTCCATGTCAGAATGCACCTTTTTTATAAATCCTCTGAGTGTTGAATGTCTGGGGTGGATATGAGGCCCTTCCTAGCGGAGGGTGCGGTGTGTCACAGGTGGAGACAGGGGTGCTGTGGTCTTACGTTCAGAAGGAACTGAGATGGAGAAACGGCAAGCGTACTTGCCAGCTATTTGTCCTGCTGCTTGGAGCTTTCAGTCCCGACATTGAACATGGGGACCAGCAAGCCCAGCAGCCACCTCTTTCCGAAGACCTCCTGTAAGTTCTTGCGCCAGGGCCGGGCTCTCACTGCCACCCCCTTTCGAACCTGGTAGCGGGTCTGCCCCCGGAGGATCAGCAGCAGCTGGTGGCAGCAGAAGCCAGCACAGGCCAGGCCGACAGCGAACCAGAGGTAAAGCATGAGGATGACGAACATGTCAGAACCGAGGACAGCTCCTGCAGGGGGGAGGGGAGGGAGACACCAGACCGCTTTACACCCAGGCCACGTACCCAGACCTCCGCGCTGGAGCGCTCCGCTGCGAGGCGAGGAGAAAGGTTCACGAGCTGGAAGTTGAGATTTGTAGCAATCTCAGCTCTGCAGCCCGGGAGACGGTGGCTGAGTTCCTTGCCCCAAGTTTTCCTTAATGGCTCCTGAGGAGAAGAGAAGAACTCGGGGCCTAGGGAGATGGAGAACAAGCTAGGTGAGCTCAGCGAAAAGGGCCCTCAGTATTTCTGGTCCAGTCTAGGCCGCACATTTCTCTAGAGGCAGAAATGCTCCCCCAATTCACTTTCTGGATTGGAAGCGGGGTGGGGGTGGGGGTTCACACGAGGAAAGAGGAGCGAACTTAGGACCTTAAAGAGGGAGCTGGCACCTGGGCAGCTGTCTAGACTACACAGTCAGTTCTCCCGATGAGGCTGGGAGCACTGTCTGGGAGGATCTGAGAAAGTGAGAGCATGATGGAGAACAGGACCACGTCACGAGCTCATGTCACGAGCTCAGCTTCAAGGGCAGCACACAGAGCCGACTTAGAGAACAAGTTAGTCATTAACGTGAACAAAAGGAGTCACTGCAACACTCAGTCAAAGCTGCCCTGACAGTCACGTCTGCAGGCAAAGGCTCTCAGTTCAGCACCCTGACAGTGGGACAGCACCCGCCCTACACCGTCCAAACCCAGCATTTTCCTGAGACTGTTTTTAAAAGTCTACTAGTAAGAGATCGCATGTGCCCTCGGAGTCTGAGTTGGGAGGATTGGTCTGTGCTGGGGTTTGAATCTCCCAACTGTGTGAAATTGTGTAGGATTCTTAACCTCTCTGAGTGGCAGGTTGCTCATCTGCAAAATGGCTATGATTAGGTTTCTAGGGATGCAGGGATTTGGAGTTGCCCGCGTGTGGCTTACACCCAATGCTGAGTATCAGGGCTCAGAGGAGGAGAATCAGACCCTCCAGCCTTCCCCCACCTTGCCAGGGTTTGGAGTCCTGTCTGGGCTGCAACTTTGTTAGCTGTAGTAAATGCATTTACCTTGACATGCCTTCCAGGCAAGAGCAGTGGACTGAGTAAAACTCAAAGGCCTTTGTCTCTCAGCTGGGCAACCCCACCACCACTTCCTCCAGTGAGGCTTGGGTGCTTGCTTCAGGGATATCACTTTATAATCCATACATCTCCATGGTCTTCCCTTCCCCAGCACCTCTTTGCCCCAGCCTATTTCTTCCCAGGCTCCAGTTTCTGGACTCCTGAGAAGTAGGCTTCAATAGCTGTTAGTCTGATCCATGCTGGATTCTGCAGCCCAGATGAATCGATTTGCTAGCTTGCTCATATGAAGCCTCTTCCTCGACCCTAGGAGCTTGGGTAGCAGGATATTCTTTGCAAAGTTAGAAACAAATAGGACCAGAAGCCCAGAGACAGAAATCTTGCTCCATTTGGCATCTAGAGAAGCCCCTCCACCGTTGTTGGGGGTATATCAAAGAGACAGACTCAAATGGGCTGGGCCATCCTGTAACCCACTTTTTTCTTGTCAGTACAAATTAGCTCGGGCAGCCCTGTGCAGGACAGAGACTCCCGGGGACATGGTGCCCTTCCAGCTCAAGGGAAACTGATGTGCAAGCTAGCCCTCCAGTCAGGATGTAAGTGCCTCAGAACCATCAAGCTCAGGTCTGCCTTGCAGCTGGGCCCCAGGAACCAGCCAGGCAGATGGAAACCATTTCCCACAGGTTTCTAAATCAAGGCATGAGGCAAAGACTTTTCGGCCTTTTGCTGGCCCCATGCAGCATCTACAAAAGGCTATTCTGGGGACCTGCTTTCTTTCTTTCAAAGTGTTTGAAGTTACCTGGCCTGGCTGCTTCAGCACCTCTAAACTATGTCATAATAGTTCCTCTTTCAGAAAACTCACAAAACTTCCTTAAGGGATCTGAAAGATTGCATCATCTACTTTCCTTTGTCCTTGCCCTCCCCCCACACCCATCTCTAACACTTCTGCTGAACCATCCCCCAGCATATTCCATAATAGATTTGGGTACAGGCTGTACCCCTCCTCCCAAAGAGGCCAATTCAGCAAGGAAGCAAGACTAGACAGGCAGGGTGGCAGAGCAGAAAAGAACAAACCCAGAATCCAAAGCTGCACGGCTCAGAAACAACTTAACCTGGTGGAGCCTTTGGCTCCCTAGCCTTAGAAAAAGACAAAAAGCTGTCTCCCAGACTTGCGCTAAGTATTGGAAGCAATGAGACACATCCAATGGGACTCAAAATAGGTACTCAACAAGGTCTAGCCACCTTTTTCTCCTACTGGGTCTTCTAGGGGCATCTACCAATGGATACTAATCCAAATGCCATGGTACATGCCAAATGGTGTCACCTCCATTCTCTAGATAAGAACAAAGCTCACACAGGTGACACAAAGCTGAAAGGAAAGAACCCTTATCAGACGTCCTCAGCTGACCTTCTCTCTGGCATGAGCAGAGGCGCTGGAGTTTAGTGGCATCTGCATTTTTTTGAAGTTCCATATTTAGACCCCCCCACATAAGGGTGGGGGGGCCTTTCAGATCCCTACTTACAACTATCTCAGGAACTAACGACAGATCTTGACCTCAGGGGTTTCTATTAAACAACTGCCTTGGTGCACCCTCTTGCCCACCTGTTCTCCTGAGAGGTAAGAGGGTTTTCTCTGGACCATTTGGACCAGAATGGGTAAGGAAAGTCTCAAAGGAGGAAGCTGAACAGGGTGGTGTATGGAGGTGGAGAGGGCCAGGGAAGAATGGGAAGGGTCGGTAAGGGAGGAAGAGGAGATGGATCTGGTGATGAGAAGTCTTGAATTCCTTTTCTAGTGGACATAGTGGAGGGTGGCGGGACTCATTCTGAAGCCAGAGCAGATGCCTGGGCACTGAGGTGGGCATGGGCTCCCTCTTTTCTCCTATCAGATCAAGGCGAGAGGCTTCCTTTCTTCCATATTTCCCAAGCCTAGCACATATGGACGGGCCTCACGCCAGACTTAAATCAAACCATTCCAAGGTCCTCCTTCTGGAACCACCCTTTTGTGTGGCTGGCGAGACGACTTGGGAAAAGATGTGTAATCAGGTTCTCTGGCTCTCCTCATCACTCCACCTGCCTGCTCTCACACTCCACCCCCAGCCCACCCACCTGCCCTCCCCCATCCTGCTTATTTTGGTCTTGGCAGCCTCCTATGCCAGCACCAAGATCCAGAAGGCCCCAGAGCTCCAAGTTCTGGGCCCAGCTTCACCACCAGCCCTCCAGACATTTCCCATGGCTGGTCCTCCCCGAGCCTCTGTGTTCCTACTGCCAAATGGCATGATAGTTCTATGTCTGGAGAGAGCTGGGCTATAGATACAACAGAGAATGAAGTGAGGGCTCCCCTAGGGTAATTTTTCTTTTCAAATGTCCAGTCCAATCTGTCTATTTCAGTCTGGTTCAGTCCAGTCCAGGTGCATCAGGACAGTCAGGTTCTCTGTGGAAATAGGTGTTTTTCTTTGACACTCGAAGGTCAAGTCGCTGAGTTTGGGACTATGGGGATTGAGGAAGAACACTGGATTAAACACATGGATAAAAGCCAGAGATGTTACTCCAGGGAATAAGCCACTAGGCAGGTCATTTAGTCCCAGCTAAGATTCAGTCTCTTTATCTGAGAAATGGATCTAAGGACACCAGACACATATCTTTGTGTGCACACCACTAATGGTAGAGAATCAAAGGTCAAAGCAAGAAAAGAGTGGAAGGAAATGAAGTAGGGACAGATGCCAAGGCCAAGCAAAAATAGAATGGCCACCAGGAACAAAGTCTCCCAGGGCCAGGTATCATGGGATGTTCTTTGAGACGGACTATTCTATTGAAACCACAGTCCTCATCATGGTACCCGTGGGAGCAGCATGTGCCTGGCTCCAGCAGGTGTCAGAGGCTCAGATCCCTCTCCAGACTGCATCTCTGGAGTGCGGACTTGCAGCCAATGAGGTAGCTCTGAGCTAGCTGCCAACTGCTGAGCCTGATGGGACCCAACTCAGGGGATGGGAGGCTGGAGGTTGGAGGTTAAGCCTACCGCTGAGGACACGCTGAAGTCAAGTCTAGATTCACCGTGGTTGACTGCTGAAGGGATGTGTTAACAGGACACGGGGGAGGGGAAGGGAGGGTACAGGCCAATGGGGCACCTAGCATGAGCTCTGAAGGAAAGTTGACTGGCCTAAGAGGTGTACAGCTTGGTTGCCATAATTTTTATGAGTAGCGTATAGTATGAAACATGAGAAGGGTCATAGGAAATAGAGCATGCCCAGTTAATCTGAATCTCGGATAGGTTACAATCTGCTCTCTTAGTATGCTTCCTGAAATGCTGGGCCATAATCATACCAAACGACTGTTTATCTGACACTTGGAGCTGAATATCCTGTGCTTTTATTTGAAAAACTCGGGGTTGGGGTAGGAGGCCTCGTTTTCCAGACCAGCCAAAGCCCACTCACCGGAGAAGAACTGGCTGATTGAAGTGGGCAGGAGCGTGAGGAAGGCCAGGGGATGGGCGAAGGAGATGGAAAGGACAGCTGAGATGTAGGCCACGCCGGCCACCATGGAGTAAAGACAGGCCAGCGACGTGTAGAGGCAGAAAAGGATGAAGTTGCGCATGTTCCTGCTGCCAATGCAGTTGCCGGTGAAGAAACAGTGATGGTCGTGCCTCAGCGTGACTCGGGAGCACACTCGGCAGAAGTGGGTGCTGGGTGGTGGGCACTGAGGTCTCTGGGATGAGGTTCCCTGGCAGGTGCCCAGGTCGTCTGGGGAATTCTGGATGACCAGGACGTAATTGCCCAGGGCATTGGCTGAGAGGAACAGGAAGAGCGCCCCGTGAAGCACTGCGGGCGAGAACAGCGGGGTGGCTGTGGGGTCCTCACGCATGCTGGGAAGGAAGAGGAAGATCTGCAGGACGAAGGTCACCAGGGAAATGCAAAGGAAGTAGGCGGGGGCCACCACGTTGAGCAGCCGCAGGGCCAGCATCCTCCTCGGTTACATTCCTATGGGGTGCCAGGAGAGAGGAAACCTTACAGTGTTGTCCAGGGTCACCTGATGCTCTTCTCCTTGCTCGAAGGACTGGAGAGCTGTACACAAATCTCCCAAACTCTGCCCCTCGGACCCACCCTTTCTGGTTTCCCTAATTTGGGACCAAGCCGGTTAGAGACCCAGAGACCACAACTGCCTGCCTCTAGCCAGACCTACTTCAGATGAGTTCCTGTTGCTTTGGCGTCATGGAGGCCAGGCAGAGGAGGGAAAGGGCCTGGTGGCAGTCTGGAGGGATTGCGTGTGGGGGAGGGGTGGGGTTTAGGAGCCGAGGGGTGGAACAGCTACAGTACCACTGTAGTTGGGATCTCTGACTGAGGCTTCTCTAGGAGGAAGAGAAGGATCTAGTGGGGGTGGAGAGACCGGTTCGACTCTTGGAAATCCTGGTTCACCCCTCCCCCACCTCCTATCTTGAGCAATGTTCGGTGACCTCACAGGTTACCCGAGGCTCTCTGGAAGGAGTTGTGCTGTGGACCATGGTGTGAGTTCGCTTGTGTACGACTTTATGTGTTATCTGTGTGCGTCTGGGTTTATGTGTGTATACCCACCCCCTGCCACCTGGCTTTTTTCTTTTAAAAAAAAATCAATTAAACAATCGATAGTGTTCAGGGACTGGGTAGGGTGGAGGTATAGCTAGACGACTTGTGCCAGTGGGTCCTGATCAGTTCATTTTCCAGCCGCTGCTTGCCCTGACTATGTCTATAAAATCTTTTTGCAAAGAGTGTTTTCCTTTGAGGCAATGAAATTGAAATCCCCCATTCGCACCCGCCTTTCGCTTTCCTGGCGGGAGAAACCCAAACAATCCCCAAGGCGCCGAAACCCTTTCGGCGCCAAGAAGCCCGTCCTGGGTGGACTAGTGGATGCTTGGCAGCTTTTCCTGGGATGACAACCCTACACAGAGCCAAATGCAGCCTCACCTCCTACAGCCGGAGCCCCTGCCCAACTTCGGGTACCACGGGGAAATAGGTTCTGTGTATCGAGAAGAACTTTCCAGTGGTCTAAGTAATCGACCAGAAGGAGGCACGAGAAAAGTTCTGGAAACGTGGCTGCACCCAGGATGGGTGGATGCCACGGGGCCTGGGTTCAAGCTGTACCGTCCGTCTGGGCTGAGACATTGGTCACCTTGAAATCTTTTTTGCAGGTGACTGTGCTTACCACTCTGGGGACCTGCAGTCTCTCTGCACAGCTGGGGCGCAGTTCAGGGCATGACTGAGGGTGATCGCTGGAGACTCAGGGCCCCCATAGCCATGCACTCCCAGAGGCCACGGGGGCGCTGCCCACTTCACAGAGCCTTAGGTGCCGGGATCCGGCGAGGGAAGCAAGTGTCTTCCCGGCGCCAGTCGCCAGGGGGGCGCGGGAGCAGCCTCCAGATGCGCCGCTGCTCAGGGAAGGCGAAGGACAGGGACTGGGGGAGTGCGGGTCGCCGGGTGGGCAGCTGCAGCCGGGGCCCTGCGTCCCGCGAAGGCCCGCATAGAGTGCCTGGCTGCAGGAAGTGTGGGGAGCTGTCCGCTCAGCACCGGCACCAGCCCCACCGGCCTCTGAGGGCGGTACCGGAGCCCTGCGGACCCAGGCAGGCGGGCGCCCATCGGTTCCTCCGCCACTGCCTCTTGGACGCCCGGGCAGCCGCCCCCCGAAGCGGCCGCAGCGCCGCAGAGGACTGGGGAACGAACTCACCGAGCTTGGATCGCGACAGGAGGAGCCCCAGACACCGGCCCTGGTTTTCCCCGAGGCTGCAAAGTTGTGGGCTCGCCCGACTGGCTCGCAGCCTTCTCACGCTTCGCTTCGGGGACTGGGCAGGTAGCGGGGGTGTGGGAAGGAGGGCGCGGGTAGCTGCCGTCCTCCTACTTGGGCGCCAGAGAGTGGGGGCCTGGAGGCGGCGGGGAAGGCAGCTGGGCACCCCCCTGCTCCGCCACCCCTCCCTCCGCTCCTGGGGGCGGTGCTCTGGCCACTGGCTCAGCACTGAGGACTTGCCCCCCACATCCCCGCCCTTCTCGGCTCCCCCAGGGGCGGGTTGTGGCGCCCTGCCTTACTGCAACCCCAGTTCCAACTGGGAGGTGGGGATTCAGCCCTGATGCAGAAGCTCCAGCCATACCCTGACCTCCCCTCTTCCCCTCTTCCTGTCTATGACCCCTCCTCGCTGTCAGCTAGGACCAAGGAAATCTTGTGTGTATATTGAGGGGTGATGGGATGTGGGCTGTTGAGAGCTTAGCTTTCATGGGCAGCACCCATGAAAATCAGCATTATCTCAGAAGGTCTGTGAACTGAGGGTCAGGCTACCTGGGTGTCAATATCCACCATTTACTGTTTACTGGGTGAGCCTACATTCCAGGGTCTTCTGTAGAATAGAGGGTTGAATGACGGTAACTGTGGAGCCTGCTTGGGATGAAGACTGTTTGTGTCTTAGACCCTCATCATTAACACTACAGACTGGCCCTTTCCTAAGTATCAGGCACTGTGCTGAACCCATGACACGACAGCTGCATGGATCCTCCACTAAGATTCCTGAAGCTTGCTGAGCCCCATTCTAGGGCCAAGAAGGTGATGCGAAGTCACACACCCAAGGTCATGCAGCAGGTGAGTGGTGGGGCCTGGATTGGAACCTGGTTCTAGTTTTCAGCCTCTGCCCACTTCAGCACCACCTGGGGATGGGGGGGGGCAGCTTTGGTTTGGGAGAGGGGAGGACAACAGGGATACATCCAGACACCAACTGGAACCTGAGCTTCTCCTGCCCCTGTCTTTCTCCTTCTCAATACTATTTTCATGTGTGTGCTATAAGACAGCAAGAGGGTGGTGACTCTAGTGTATGGCGTGTGTGTGTGTGTGTGTGTGTGTGTGTGTGTGTGCATTTATGAATATGGGAGGAATCTAAGACCATGAAACATTGCAAGAATATTCACGCTTTTACTAGCCTCAGTTTCCCAAACTGCCATGGCTCCCACCACTGCCTTCTCCACTTCCCTGTGTGCAAGCAAACATAAAAAAAAATGCTTATTGGTGTCTCAACTGGTTGATTAAAACGAGCAGTCCTTTGAAGCGAAGGCCATATGCCGATCGGCTTAGCCTCTATTTTTGAATCATCAGACACTGTTTTCTCTGTATTTTATCAGCATACATAAAAATAAAAAAGGGGCCAAGAAACCTCTTCATGTTCTAAAAGGATTTTATATATGAGAGGAAGAGCGGCAATACCAGGCGGTAGCTCCCGAGACTCTGATGGCCCAGGACAGACACAAGGAAGCACAATAATAGGTCTTTTTCCTGCCAGGCCAGCTTTGAGTCACGAGCTTCCTGCCCCCCCCCCCTTGCATGAGCTCTGCCTGCCTCTCACACAGGCTCGGGATGGAGGGGACCCAAAGGGTTTAGTCTGGGCCTTACTGATTGAAAATCTCCATTCCTTAAATACCTTGAGAGTTGGGTGTGTTTCTAATTTTATTTTGTGTATGGGTGTGTGGGGGGAAGGTGAGTGGGGTGTGCATGCTCACATGTGTGTGTATGTGTGTGCTAAATTAATGTGTGAGGGGTAAAAAGAAAGAGTTAGGCAACCGTGGGAAGATGTCAGTGGGGGAAGGGAGCAATCAGCCGGGAGGGAGGTGATACAGACAGGAATGGGCAGGATAATTATTTATTTAGAAACCAAATTTATCAACAGAAAAGGACACTGGAACTGGAGTTCTAAGCCCCTTAAGCAACAGAGCAAGAGGAAGAGCAGCCAAGTGACAAAACCCCATAGGGAGGTCTACTTGAAACTTCACTTTGATTCTGGCCCTGAGTTAAACAGATAAAACTCCGTTGCCACTTCCCGGCCATATGAACTTGAAAAGGTGGCTCAACTCTCTGCCCTCTGCATTCTCATCCCTGAGGCGAGAACAGTGTCCATATTTGTGATGATAACAGACCCGATGTTGAGCTGGGGCACCTCAGGACCAGAGGGACCACAGCACTCCTCTCTCTCATCAGCCTCCTCTCTTCCTTGTAGGCTCTTATCTCTGCCTCTCTGCCTTCTCCTTTCTAAAATAAGATCTCCCAACCTGTATTAGAAATACTGGCAAAGGCAGTGTCTCTAGTTTGCCCTGAGTAGACCAGAGTTAAGTATTCTTCTGGTCTATACTTATCTCTCTGGAAAGAAAAATCTGTATTTTGAGGTTTTGAAATGTCTGGCTGGCCAGGACACATTTGCCATTGCTCTTCCGTCCTGCCACTGCCCACCCTGGCAATAGCCTTGTTCTTCACAAACAGTGTCAGAAAGTAGTTTCTAAGCCACACTCTCTATCGGCCTTGTCATCTCTTCTCATAGCTGAGCTGTGCCGGCACCTGCAGCGGCTCCCAAGGGGGCAGGAATCAGGGAAGTATCTGATTGCTGCTGCACACTCTCCTGGAGATACGTGCTGTAAACCTTGCAATTTAGCGGTATTATTTGAGTGAAATAAACTCCCTTCCAAGTGGCAATCATTCCATTTTGCCACAAAATGCAGTATCCAGAGGAAGAAATTCCGTGAAGTGAGCAGTTGCTTCTCCCCGGGGTGTCAGACTCCCCATCCCTTTAGATGAGGCTGTTCCTCAATGTAACGACCTGGGGCAAAGAACGCTGACGAGGTAATGCTTCAGTTTCATGCTCGTAGCACAGGTGGACCACGGAGAATGGAAACTGGGATCTCGAGGTTAACCAATAGCCTGAAGTTAAAACGGTAACAGATAGCCCTAGACAGGATGCTTGCTACGGCTGACAACTAACCACAGCCTCGGGGAACCACAAAGTGCTTCCGAGCCTCAGAAGGCTTAACAAGAAGATGCTATCCCTGCCCACCCAGCTTTGAAAACCATCTGAATGTGATCTTCATCTCAGTCAGCCGCACACATCGGAATTGGATTACCACAGAATGTCTACCTAGAGGTGCGACTTTACTCCGCCCACACTGCCTCCATTCTAACAGCAACTGCAT